TAATGTTCCTCCCTTCTGTGAAGCCCGAAGTCAACTAAAGAGCTAATGATAACTATCAAAATGCCTGCCATTTGAAATAAATAAATAAATATCCGACGGTATGTCATATTTGACCACTTCCAGATTCCTCACCTTTTCTTTTTCTCAAACTCTGTGTCTATCTCTTTTCCATCCCTGAATTACTCTTCTCTTCCCCATCTCCACATTTTGTGACTTTGCCTGTTCCTTCCCTCTGTGAAGCCTGAAGTCAACTGAAGGTCTAATAATAACTATCGTAAATCCTGCCATTTGATATAAATGAATAATGTGTCAGCTTACTGTAAAAGGCTGTAAATCACATTGATAATGCCGAACGATCCACAGATGACTTTAACAACTTTCGATTGCATGATAAGGACCTAACTATTTCTCCATAAGTGGGCTCAATACTTTTTAAAATGATGGAATTTTACGCATTTTTATTCTTATTCAATGAAAATAAATGCAAGATTAAGCGGATTTTAACAAATTGAGGTGCGTGGTTATTAAATGAATATCATGATTCGAAATCGGTTAAGGAAAACAAACATGTGAAAGTATAACTTCCATAAAGCGGCGAATAGTGGCTCAGAAGATCCCACTAACATAAATCGAAGAGGAAAAAAGCATTGAATAAAAAATGACATAATCTTCATGGAAAAAATATCGATTGATATTCCTCAAAGTATAAAGGACTAATTGGACGAAGACAGCAAGTGAATAGAATTTTTATAAAAGAAATAAATTATGTAAAGAGCATGCTTACCTGTGAACCAGTTGATAGTTTCTTAGAAGTGTCTGTCACGCCATCTCCGTAATTAAATGAATCGAGACCCATTGTGTCCTCACCCTGTGCTCGTCGTTCCGCCAATCGAATGCTCTTGCTAGCACGCTGTTCCAACATCTCGTACTGATGTTTGTATATCTCGTGTTCTTGCGGCGAAGCTAGTTGGACAGCATTCTTGTTATGCTTCCATCTATGAATAATAGATTCAACACTTTCCCGATTGTAGATACGATTCTTTAGTAGTGTTATGATCATGTATAGGGGTATAAAGAAAGGCTGAAAGAAGTAGACCAACAATTGATAGCCTATGAGACTGAGGATGGTGTGAAATGGATTCTTCCATAGCCACCAATCATCCAGCATTCGGCCAAACCATCTTATAAATTCCAGTAGAGGCTTCACCTGCTCGAGACGCTGTTGTTGCAGCTGTAGAATAGACGGGCAAATAAATTGATTATTAGCAAATAAATGCTACTAGAATTTGAATATATTAGTAGGCAAGTTAGCTAGTGAATTATAGAGTGAAGTTAAATTTTAGCTATCTGATATATACAGAATTCAGATTTATTAGTGTAGATTGATTAAACACATTAGAGGTCTGTGTAAAGTATGTTATGCAAGTGTCGCGATTCGATTTAAGTAGTTTAGGGCTTGATGTGTCCCGTTTTTCCCACTTGGATGTTGAGAGCGATGTTAGGCAAAATGATGTGATGTTGCAATTACCCTTATATCATGCCAGCGAATTTCCTAAATTATATATATACATATTTTTATTTTTATTAAGTGTTTACAAATACTAAAATATAGCAAAAATTATTTTAGTTACTCGTATCCTTTAAATACTCATTTTATAATAATGTCTCTTAAAAATAATGACAGACTAGTCTTTCTCTTCTGATTTTGACATTTCTAGAGATCGCGATTGTTAACCCTGTTATTAACCAAGGTTTTTAAACGAAGATAGTTTGCAATGAACCTCAAAAGTTTCATTTGGAAAGCACAAGAACAAAGAAAATTTGAACACCCAATTTCGGTAGAATTATATTTTTTATGTATGACAAAATACAAACCATACTTTTTATACGATTCGAGAAATCGTAATAGTTTCACTTAACACTTCATGAGAAGGATATCACGAAATGCAAATAAACAAAAACAGAATCTGACTTAATCACTTTGAAGGTCACCAATTAAACTTTATCAGATCATCCAATGGCATTCTTAATTTCTTTCGAAATTCACTAATTAAAACTTGACACATTTAACCCAATTCAGTACGTATAAGAATATTGGATATTCATTGTTTTCCCAGGTTTACGAGTACTTCGTTATCATATCTTTATTTTAAAAAAACCTTCGTCTTAGAAAGCATAAATAAAACATTTTTATTTTTTTAACATACGCGATGGTATATTTAGGCTATGATATAAGTAATCGTGACAATCATTTATGAAGGAATATCTATAATTTATTAATGAAAATGGGGACTTTAGATATACTTTGGTTTATGTAGCATAAACGGATATTATTTGTACGAAATACCTTGTGTTTTTTATCAAAAGTTCGATAGCATGGTTCCATTGGTGTAAATGATTTCAACGCTGCTTTGAACTACATAAAAGAAAAAAGGACACCGAAATTAAGGGATTAAAAGGGGATAACGAGAGCAGAATTAGCATGTTTATTCGGGCCCAGTAGATCAATAGGAACTGACCTGATTAAAGAACACATTAAATTCAAGCAGAATAGATCCTTTTGCTGGACCCCGAAAATCTGGAGTTTTGAGTGCGTACCATTTACTCCTACCATTGTCAACCTGGTAAGTACATCAAAAACATCAAAAACGCTTCTTAAGCCTTAGATTAAATATGTATCTATATTAACAGAGAGGGATGTGCGATAGACTTACCTCCACGTAGTGCCCAAAGGGCAACATATACTCATACGGCAATAAAGGCCTATTAACCGGGAATCGGCTTCTAACTTCAAACTACCATCTCCCTACTGTATGTCATATTCGACCACTTCCACAGTACTCATCTTACATTTTCTCTGCCCTTGTGTCTGTCTGCCTCTTCTATATCTTTGAAACACACTCCTATTCCCCCCCCCTCCCCTCTCGACCATCTTCACTTTGATGTTCCTCCTCCCCCTCTGCGAAGCCTGAGGTCAACTAAAGGGGTAATGATAATTATCAAAACGCCTGCCATGTAGAGAAGTCTAACTGCTTTAAAGCTTATCCGTGACACGGAATTCTGACCAATTGCCAAATGGAGATTGCGAGTAATATAAATTCGCCAATTTCATGCGTGAAAGAAATATATCCGCCCATATTTTATTGCAGTTAGAATGCTTCCGTTGGAACCTACCTTCTAAATTTTAATGATTCATAAAATTAATCGATATACAGCTGAAAGGCCATCGACAAATAATTAAATATGAGAAAAAAGAGCATTCCCGTTATTATTTTGCGGGTCCAGTCTATTTCCGACATCTCAACTGTCCGTCTGGATGGCGACCTCCAGTCATAAAGTGCAAAAAAGGTAGTAGTCTAAAAATAGTCTTTGTTAAATTACCAAATCTAGGTTGTTTGACACTTTGCCCCCACCCCCCCCCCCCCCCCCCCCCCCCCTCCCCTCGTGCAAATGCTCTACAAGCTGAGGCTAATATTAATGCAGCTTTTAACATGGATATAAATTGTTATCAAATCCTCTCAGATTTGAGCTGGATCTTCACCAAATCCTAGGTTCAAGAGGGAAAGAATCAAAGATTTGGATTATATCTATGAAAAATGTGAAAACAGGCTGATTACGGTCCATTCAACTTGCGAATCAGCTTGAGCCTAGTTCAAATCTTACAATTATGATAGAAAAAAACTTTACTATCTCAAGTGGTAAATGCTCATCCATTGGCAAAAAGTTGGTACCTACTCGAAGAGGATGAATGGCGAGTCCACCTATAACTTCCTCTTTGTTTTTCTCGACTTCAACGACGGTTATCTTCATGATGCCGTGAATGTCGGAGAGGGGACTAAACGGTACATATGCAAGGTTAGTTAAATTTTAGAACTTACATTACAAAACACCGATTCCAGGTAGGATTTTTGCGTTTTATTATGCTCTGAGTTCGCAAATGAGTGTTGAACATGTCGACGACGCAGAAGATCTCTATTCGACCATTTGTAGACTTACCACCCAGTCCCATGGCGCTGCAAACTGGATAAATTCAAAATGGAGTCATCAACAGATTATTCAAGTAACCTTAAGTTTGATGCACACTAGCTAACTTTTCAATCTCATCCACCCGATATCTTGGGAGTTTGTGAATGATTTTTTGTAGCTCTGCCAAAGAATAAGTGAGTTAGCTAAAATGTAGAAAAAAGGCAAGAAAATTGAAGAGGTCAATGTACGTACAAAGTGATCTGAAACAAGTTGAAGCAAATTAGGTTGAAGATTTGGTGCTTCTGCCTTTTTATCTTCTTCATTATTTCCATCCTGTGTAATGCTGCTGGCATCGTCGAACGAACCTAAACTCGGAGCCGGGATGGATACGTTTGAGCTCGGAGTATGTGGAATACGAGGTTGGATGGGACTTCTGTCTGCTGTTTTCAGACCAGTCAATGTCACAAACAGAAGAAGTCGAGCTTCATTTGAATTTCGCATAATCTGAAGTTCCATCTTTTGGGTCACTTCCAATGGCATATCATTGAGATCAATAACAGTCCTGAAATAAACAGTCAAAAACTGAAAAAGAACCAATGGATGCACTTGACTCTTTGAGGAATTTATGCCTGTCATGTGGTGAAAAGGCTCTCTGAATAATGCGGCCAAGGCCTGTTTACCTCTCTTCAGCAACGTAATTTCAAAACTCATTTAAAGTCGAAGGTGAAAAAGAACGTCAAAACATTTGAAGCCTCATCAATGTACATGAACATGAAATCTGTATGATATATGGTCCATATTGGCATACTTTATGAGTTAATTCTAATGAGTTCGTTTTCAAATCTTATAGATTTTTATGTGGCCAAATCTATAAATAAATAAATATGTTGATAGGGCAAACGTATTGAATAAGTACGTGATTGACAAGTGGCGGTATAATATCGTAATGTAACTACCAAATCAGGAAGTATGTTGCATTTCTTTTTATTCACAGCTAGCTCGCTTTTACCTGTGAATATACATCGGTATACGGAAATAAAATTTTCTGGTAGTACAACTTACTTACTTTCCTTGAAACCCCTCCTTCCACTTAAAAATTGCACATGTCATTCAGAATTTCATACTTCCCTTCTACCTCCTCCTAGTGGGAAATGCATACTGAATAGAATGAATCTTTTACAGGCTGTAAAATTTGGATTAGATCAGCAGGGCAACCCTCGGCAGACATATTTCTGTAAGTGCTCTTAAAATCGATATTTTACGCAATCGCCAATTAATATTGACTTCAAAACCAAGTCCCAGTGACCAAACGATGCATATTTAATTAAATATTTCCTTTTCTTTAAAGCACCCAATGCTATTAACGTCAATGTTTGTTTAATTCGTATCTTTCTATACATTTCATACCTATAAATAACCACTTGAACAGAAAAAACTTATATGTTTTCATTCTCTATCGGCTTGTCCATAATATCAAATTAAAAGGATATACGAAAGGTCTATATTTTCAGTGTAATCTGCCAAGTCGATTTCTCTCTCCCCCTCTCTCTGTTATAAAAGTCAGTGAAATGTTCATGCAACAAGATTTGATTTTTGTCCTCTAAAATCTATTACTCCTGAAGAAGGTGATAGTAGTTCACCTCTGACGCCACAGATTATGATATAAATTTGATACCACCACGGGACTACAAGATATGGAATACATTGCACAAACATTTTGGGTTAAAGAGGCAACCCAGGTTGGGAATATTGAATGATTAAATATCAATTTAAAAAAATTCTTAAAAATGTAGGTCTTCTGGATGTCTTGACGTTGGTCGAGTTGTCTTCCCGATCTCCCACTCTCTAATTATCTGCGGGAATTTGTGTTGCGCGAAGTCAGTCGCTTTGCATAATTAAAAAGTCTTCAATTTTGATGTACTCCTTTAAATAAAACTTTTAATGTTATTTTACAATGATAGGTTTTGAATTCGTGGCCTTCTTAGCCTCACATAATAAATTTTTTCATATGCGAAACATAACGTCCGAGCAAACTCAATAATAACCAAATTTCAGAATAAAAGAAGGTAATTTACTCTCCCATTATTGGGCTGCGGGGTATTCCACCGGTTCCTGCTTGCGTTTCCCTGTCGTATACAGTAACCCGAACAAAACCAGGCGACCCATTCCACACCTGGAACTCAAATTCCTCCAAAAAGTCTGGGTTGCTATTGTTTTTCACAACCTAAAATTGCAGCTAACGGGTTAAATTACTATCGTTTTTCTATATCTGATCTTCTTTCACAATCAATGACTTACCTCCGATGATTTCTTCTCACTTCCATAAGTGAATTCAATCTGAGGCGATGGTTTGAGAGTGAGAGACTTTGCAGCCCAATGCAAAGCAACAAGGGAAGCAGCTCGAGTTTCTGGAGAAGACACAAGGGATCCAGACCCCATTGTGGACATACCATCGGGTGAATTACTAGCACTGTCACCAATCATACTCCCTGCTGGAGTCCTACTACTGAAGATACTTGGACAATTCCCATCCATCCCAACATCAGGACCCATTTCTACCTGTGGCATAGACCCAAGTCCTCGTGCTCCAATCAAGTAGATATTGACGAAACCACTCTCTACAATTCTGGTGACTTTCGAAGTGTCACCCACATCTAAACGTTCTACCAAATTAGCTGTAGGAAAGCAGAGACGTGTCATAGGTAGAAGGAACTCAATCGGCCAGGGAATTTTAGGAATTCTTAATTCCCAGAAACGAGTGCGATAACGGCGTTGGAATGCCATCATTGGCAGTTGAAGACTTCTGTTACTTGGCCAGTCGAAGAATGGGTGCCATGGAACATTTACTTCCGTAGTGGCACCCTCACCTTCAAGGTATCGACGGGTTGTCTCGTAGGGGGAAAAAAAGAACGAGTCTTCACTATGTATAGAGGGCTCGTAGAGATGCTCCTTCGATCCCTGTTTTGGGGATCTTTTCTTTGAACGATGGAGATTATGTCTTTGCACATAAGATGTCAATTTTTGTGTTAGTCTGTTGTGAACATGATGCTTTTTAGCATAGGATTTGTTAGTAATCGCACTGGTTGCTTCGTCAGGCATTTCAGATCCCTCTTGAGCGTCATAAATTGTGCTGTCATCAAAGTATTGGAGGAAACCAGGTTCAACGATGGTATCCACGTAGAGAGTACCCAGTATCTGTGTGCTACGCTTCCTCAAATTGAAACATTTGATTGGAGCTTCGTGCGAACATAACCTGTAGACAAAAGATATTTTCGTCTTCACTTTTGAAATTTCATCAAACTCAGAGTACCCTAAACGCGTCTATAACGCGTTAGATGTGTGACGAATATTTAAGTACTAGTTGTCTGTTCGCCAGTTATCCCTTTTTAAAATAAGTAAAAACATTTAATAGAAGTTAAGGGACGCTTATTTGATTATGCATGTCTTGGGATAAACAAACAACAACAACATCTGCATAGAAAGAAGGAATGGGAGACCAGGAAGAGTGAAGGAAAAGCTTGCTAACGTGATGCCACTAGACCAGGAATAGATCGAACTTCCTGCTTATTAAGAGTTTCGGGACTCAATAATTACTGCGGAGCTGTCAGTCTTCATAGGTCAAAATGTATGAATTCTGGCCCATATATAGGGGTAGGTCACCAACTATTGGGTTGGCAACTATGTCATTGCCGTTTTTGTTGACGGATTCACTCTATACTTTCTTTTGTTTTGTTAACGTGGCCAGAGCATCTAGCCTATATTTTTTCTTACTGTATGGGCTTCTAGGTTAATTAGTAAAAATTTTTTTTGTTTAGTTCTTTAGCTTTGTTTTTATCCCAATTTAAAAATGAAAGAACAGGACGTGCACTTCCGACACATTTTATTGTATTACTTCCGAAAAGGCAAGAACGCATCGCAGGCACAAAAGAAGTTATGTGCCGTATATAGAGATGAAGCATTAAAGAAAGGCAGTGTCGAAATTGGTTTGAAAGATTTCGTTCCGGTGATTTTTCACTGAAAAATTCACAACGATCTGGCCGCCCAGTCGAAGTGGATGAAACCCATATCAAGGCCATTATCGATTCAAATCGTCACAGCACAACACGAGATATTGCAGAGAAGCTCAATGTGTAGCATACATGCATTGAAAAAATTAAAAACCCTTGGTTATGTCAAGAAACTTGATTTATGGATCCCTCACCAGCTAAAGGAAATTCATTTGACGCAACGGATTAGCATTTGTGAGCCGCTACTGAAACGCAATGAGAATGATCCATTTCTGAAGAACCTAGTTACTGGCGACGAGAAGTGGATAGTTTATAACAATGGGTGAAGCAAGATCAACCAGCCCAAACAGTATCAAAAGCAGAGATTCACCAAAAAAAGATTATGCTGTCAGTGTGGTGGGATCACAAAGGAATGTTGTATTTTGAACTCATGCCGCAGAACCAAACGATAAATTCAAATGTGTATGTTGAACAACTCGAAAAACTGAAAGAAGGATGCAATTGAAGATAAGCGGCCGGCATTATCAAATCGGAAGGGTGTTGTTTTCCATCATGATAACGCAAGGCCCACCCCCCACACATCTTTGGTTACTCGGCAAAAATTATTGGAACTGGGTTGGGATGTTTTGTCACACCCACCACATAGCCCTGACCTTGCGCCTTCGGATTACCATTTGTTTCGTTCCATGCAAAACTCTTTAAATGGTAAAATTTTTAACAACGCGGATGATGTCGGATCACACCAAATTCAGTTTTTTAATAGCAAAGACCAGACATTTTACGAACGAGGAATTTTCACTCTGCCATAACAAAGGAAAAAGGTCATCGACAAGAACGGCCAATATCTAATTTAAAAGGTCATCGACAAGAACGGTCAATAGCTAATTGAATATCGATCGACAAGAACGGCCAATATCTAATTGAATAAAGTTATTCGTCGACAAGAACGGCCAATATCTAATTGAATAAAGTTATATTTTTAAACAAAAAATCCGGATTTGCCTTCTTATTTGAAATCGGCAATGACTTAGAAGAATTTGCCTTCTTATTTGAAATCGGCAATGACTTAGTTGTAACCTTATATATTATTAAGTACTTAAGTACCCGCACACATATAGATCTAATTCCGAACGGCTCTAATTTCTCAGTTAACTCAGGCTGGTATCGTAACTATCACTCTGGATCTAGAAATAGGGGGCAGACACTATCTCTACAGTTCAATTTAAGTAACACTTAAGTCAATCAGTATATCTGCTTGTAGGATCTTGATCAAATTAGGCCGGAAGATATCCTAGCAACTTATTGAAGAGTCAAAATAGCGATACTTTCTTTGTTAATTTGATGAGAAATCTATCACATTAATAATCACCTGACAGGTGAGACAGAGCGGAAAAAAGAACCAAGATGTGTGATCAATAGTGTGCATTGAGGTGTTGATTTAAATGCATGACTGAAAAAGTCAAATCCTCTATCCTATCAAAACTATTTCATCGAATAATCATTTTAGTATAAGGGTCAGTAGATAAGGTATTTAGTGATGATAAAATTGTGAAAAAGCTCGCGAACTCGATGAAAGAAGTGTATAAAAAACAATGGATAATTAAAAACGAAAGCCTTCATTATCGACTTGACTCTCCAGTCTCCAAACTGTAAAATTGGAAAGACAAAATGACTAAAATTTACATAAGAAAAGGAAGAGAAATTTATTAAAATTGATCTGATCAAGGGTTGTGTTTCAGCTCCCCACGTGCGTAGTCTGGCCAAGAAATATTTGATTATATCAACAAATACCAAAATTAACCAATTAGGAACAAATGCTTCGAAAACAAAAAAATACATTAAACTCACTCTCCATCACGTCCCAAATGAATAAAGGCTCTTCCAATTAACTTGTCAGCTCGAATCTTGTGCTTTTCCATTATTTGTAGCTAAAACAAATTGAAAAAACGCCAGTAGACAGGGATTTACAATTTATATATTGCCTCCAATTCGGGGTAAAACAAGTGGATATAGAGATTACATCACGTTTTGAAAAACGACAGTCAGGCCAATGGTTTCAAATTGGCTATTGGCTGGGACAAATGTGCGAGTGTCTACATTTGAATACGATTTACTACTAATAAATAGCGGCTCTCTAACTTCAAAAATGGAAATTACACAATTAACCTAATTGAAATTTTGTCGATTTAGGGTGTTTGATTTTTCCATACAAATTTGGGTTAATTTGCTAAATAAGGAAACAATCAAAATGCACAACAAAACTACCAAAGAATGTGCGCGTATCATCATCTTGGCGCTAAGACGTGCTGAACGTAAGATGCGATTCCCCTCGAAACCAAACTCTAATCGAAAAAAATTCTCAATGCGTGAATATCTTTTGGGATAGAAGATTCGGATCAGAACTAAAGCTATACACCCAACGCCTCAACCAAACTTCAACGAAATTATGAAAAAATTGATTGGTAACCACAGCATTGAATAGATTTAACCGAAATTTGACAGAGAGAGAAATTGCAGCATCTTCGGAGAGTTTCACGCATAGTAACTATCTTTAAAGCCAATTACAGCCCTGATTCCTGCTGCAGAAACTGTAGTTAGTCGTTCCTGTCCATTCCAGATAAAAGGCATAAATCCACTTCCATTTGCTATCACTTGTTATAGCTAATCTCGTCTATCAACTGGGGCCAATAGTGGGGCCAACATATCACATCATCCTGGTTGGTGGTGGCCACAGAGGAAGAGGAGGAGGAGGACACACATTCAAAACCCAAGACAGTTTCAGCGAATTCAGTCAGCATGAATCGAGGAGTGTCCTCTCGACTTCATGCAAACCAAACCATCTCTTTCCCTGTGTGTCGTACTTTTACTCTTGCCAACAGTTGTTCACATCAGAAAAGAACCAGATTGCTTGTGTTTCATCTGAATGTTCCACTTCTTCAGAAGTCTCTTCGTCTTTGCCAGATGATGAATTCAGCTTGTCGCTTTTATGAGAAATAGTCGTCTGTGAAACTCATATGATCTTGAAGTGGTGAAGGTCTACATTGAGTTCGTAGTTCATTTGTTGAGGCACAAGCATAATCAGATCAGATGTTCAGCTTTTTGTTTTCAACTGAGTTCTACAATCCATTCCAAGTTCTTTTCACTGTGTTTAAGAAACATTTAACAATGAATATAATCCCTTTAAGTGTTGATGACAGGTACGTAACATCAAGAAGCAAGTTGATTCCTTCCACTAATCATATGTGTTCCAAACACCCAATCTCGTTGTCATCACTCATATGACTGCAGATATGGTTTGAGTGTTTAAAGGAAGTATGCTGTGTTCGAACACCTATGGCACTTCTAGAAAACCAAGCTAATATTATTTTGTAAAATATATCGTGACCACCCTGCGCACGTATCTTGCTCTCAATAGGGAAATCAGTCTATCTTACCCCTCAATTCATGTTTTTAGTGTTTGTTCCCTAAGGTAACTTAAATATCAGTACTTCTACAACATGCGACCATTAAGAAAAATCATTTCAATTCAGCTGGAATCACGATGTCTTCAAATGTGCTTTTCAGAGAGAGCTAGCGCTCGTTTATTTCCATGTAAGTAGAATGATTTGATTGGTTTAGAAACTTCAGTGTGTAAAAATGACCTTTTTCTTACCAATTACCAGCAATTCAAAGACCTCAACCTCCTCTTACCTTTCAATATATTTTCTTTAATTACAAATATCGTAGGGTGTTTAACTTCCTCAAAAACTTATCTGCTTTCAAGATAAAATAAGTAGTAATTCAAATGTTGCCACTCACCAAACTCCGAGATGTGTTTCTTTTATCTTATATCAGATTCACAAGTATCTACAGACTTTATATTAGCATTCGTATCTTCCGTTTGATCTAAACTTAACTAAATACAGTTTCGAAAATGCCTCATAGTTCATGGTCTTTGATAAAAATACGAAAAGACTCCTTCTAAATATCTTGACGAACTTACCTGAAGAAGGCTTTCTGCGTTGCTGATGGGAAAAGCTACCTTTTTATCCCATGTTGGACTAATGGTTTCTCCTGAAAATTGGGTTCTTGAAATCAACTTGTCCATGTAATACACATGGACGCAAGAGTTGATCTTTTCTAAAGGTAAGAAATGAAGGAAAAGGCTTTTAATCAAAGAATAATCTCCTCAAAAAAGGCGAAAAAACGTCTTACCTTTTAGTTCTGCACTTCTAATGGTTAGAGTGCAACTCCATAACTTGCATGAGTTTTCCTGAAAAAAGAGGAATCATTTAATATGACTAGCTTAAGTAAATCGATTGATTAAGTAACCTTGGGAGGCATTTAGATATGAGTGGAACAGAATGTGTTAGAAATGTTATTAGCATTAATTATTGATTTATAAGTTTTAGATAGAAATGACGATCTATTTGTGAAACCAAATGGAATTTTTCGAGAAGTTAGGTAATTTTATGACATTTCAGGTGGCCCTACTGGTGTTATTGTGCCTTCCACAAGTGAGCTTTGTACCTCATGCACTTCCGGCACTGACATAGTGCGTTTCATTCTGGAGAAGAGATCAGCCAAGGAGGAGCGAATCCGATTTTGTCTGCGTTGACAGTCACCAGCTTGCATTTCGGAGTCTGATGCGGTCATGGAAATTGACTCGGAATCATCTGTACCGCTGTAGCTTCTATTTTTGCTCTCCTAAATCAGTGAAAACTTTACCCTAGTTCTCTCTACTTGGACAAAATTTAGAAAGAAGTTCACACGAATTCGGCTAAAATGCTGGCATTTAGTTTCCATTGAATGACTTAAGAGTATAATAAGAAGGACTTTGATATCCGAAGTCAAATGGATACGCAGACTTAAGGTGCTACGTCAATATCCATAAAGCGTAGTGAATCAGAAATTTCAAAGAACTGGACATTTATTAGACTTGACTTAGGAAAAATGTGATATATTCACTCCCGAATACCGCAAGCTATCCAAAATACCAATCAGGAGAAGTTAATTATTAAGGACTCAAAACAGTGATACGTAGCCAATTGGATCATTGAAAATAAAGTATCCTAAAGATTTTTCAAAAGTTTTAACGTTAAAGAACGTGTTTCGCAATTTGCGTGGCAGCATATATGGTATTGAAGTAAACGTTGAAAACCATGCAAGAACTCGCAAGAACTATTATTCTATTATCCATCAAACTACTCAGAAGTATGGCTGCTGGAAGCTAATGAGCATAGCAGCCAATATGGGCAATCTTTCCAACACGAAATCCAAAGTGATCAGGGCGTGTGGATGGAAAAAGGAAGGACAGTGGTCTTTGGCTAAACCAGAACACAAACTCTTCATCATGCTCCAAATAGGGGGGGGGGAGAGTGAGGGGGGCTGGAGAAAGATCGCCTATATCACCGCTTCTTCCCACTTCTTGTACTCTCCACATTTATCCTTGCTTCTTACTTAATATTCCTTCATTACGACATATTTAAGCCACACTACTTACTTTTGTAAATGGACTTATTAATGGAAGACTAATACCACTCTACAATTGAAATTTCAAACTACGAATGAGAATCCCCTTTCCATTATTTTAAGTGGTCGATAGTTTTTTAATTGGGGTGTGTGATAGACTTACCTCCACGTGGTGCACCCTGGGCAACGTATACACATACGGCATAAAGTCTATTAACTGGCAGTTGACTTCTCACTTTAAACTAGCATCACCTCACTCTATTCCATATTCGAATATTTTCACAGTATTCACCTCACCTTTGTTCTACCTTTGTGTTTGTCTCTTACATCTCTGAAACACTCTTCTGTTCCCCCCCCCTCTCGACTTTTTTCAATTTGATGTTCCTTTCCCTCTGTGAAGCCTGAAGTCAACTAAAGGGCTAATGATAATCATCAAAACGCCTGCCATTTGATATAAATAAATAGCTTTTTTAATTTGGACAGGGGATTACGTCTTAACTTGCTTAATTCGGATCATATTGAAAGCTGAGATAATGAAATTTTTGAATACCAAAAGAAAAAGATGTTCTCAATTTGTTAGCACACGATGCAACAATGCAGAATGTTCATTTTCAGATCTAACCACCTAGAACGTTTTCTAGTGATAAAGTGGCTGAGCTTTCCACGTTATAAACCAGTACGAAATCATTTTTAGCACTCAAGTCAATTCGGACAACACAAGTATAGACACTGAACCAATAAGAATCTAGTGCCTAAGATCAATTGAGCCACAATCAACTACATTTGTCTATCTCAAATACTCTACTCAAATCAAGCCATTTTGCATGATCTATAAGATGTTCTTTAATAAACTCTTAAAAATAGAAAAAACTGCAATTTACCTCAAGAGCTCTTTGATTTCTTAGGGAAGTACTTAGAACCTCTCTCCATGTTATCAATTTGCTAGCATGCACTTAAATATTATTGATTTTTTGTCTGTCTGCCGGTGAATTGAGGTTCAACTATCAATTGCAAGAAGGGAGTTTATACGCTTAAACTACCTACTAATTTGTAAATTACTGGCATATATAGCTATACTAGAGCACTTTGTCAGTATTTGTCAAAACTTTGTAAGTATTTCAAAACATATTGGAACAGTCGTGTTAAAAAAAAATATCTAAAACTTTCTCTCGTCAATGTTTCCTGACAATTGCAGGGGAAGAGTGAGCGATGCAATTGTTTCTTCTTCACCTCACACCATGCCTTCTTTTATCGGTACAACGACCAAATCGTAGATAAAGCGGCGTTCTAACTGCCTTGGCAAGAAGAGTTGGTTTCAGCTAAAGGCGGGAATGGGTGTATGCCAAATTTATTGTCAAAATCATTGCTCCAATAATCTAGGACAAAATCAATCTGGTACGGTGTGCTATCAAATTGGAAAACCTTCAAGCTGCAATTTATTTAAAGTGGAAAAAAATAACCACCTCTTTTTAACTTCGTCGCCAGCTTCCCTCTTTCTAATTAGGCATGTACTTTATATGATCATCTCAAACCTACCTACTTCTCATTTAGCAAAACACCTTGATCAATCTATAAACAATCGATTATAAACCATCGAAGCAGTCTGGAAGCCTTGGTAGATGTCAATAAGGTGTGGTATCAGTGGTATGTATTTATTTTGCTATAGAAGTGGCATCTGGGGGGGGGGGGGGGGGGGGGAGGGAGGGTCATTTTTCAAGACTTTTATGCCCAAATTCTGCGTTAATTGCCTTATTTGCTTTGAAGTGACTTCGAATTACTTTACTTTGCAGCTCTAACAATTAAACCCGAGGAGTTTAACTTGAAATTTTTCTTCCTCAAACAAATAAAGATTTCAGAAAATTACACTAATTTGTCTATGAAAAGAAAATATTTACTATAATGCCTGCCTACTCGATATCAGAATGGGTCCAAACTAGTAAATGTATAAAAATGAAATTTATTGACCAAGCATGTTTAAATATTTTACTCCACAGGATGTGGGTATTCATGCAAATATTTTAAACCCAGTTGCGTTAAAAGGGAAAAGAAATTTCTTTGAGAAACGAACTTCGGAAGTGATGTTCGAGCGATAGACTTATCTCTACGCGATGCGCCATGGGCAGCATATACTCATACGGCAAATAAGTCTATAAACCGCAGTTGATGTATTACTTCGAACAACCTGATCCAACTGTATGCCATATTCGAAAACTTCCAAAATACCCATCTCAACTTTTCCGCCACCTTTGTGTCTGTCTCCCTTACATCGGTGAATCCCTATGCTGTTCTCCATCTCGACTTTTTTCACTTTGATACTCCTCCCCACTGTGAAGCCCGAAGCCAATTACGGGGTCAATGATAACTATCGTAAAGTCCGAAATTTGAATCAAGTAAATAAATCTTCGAAATTGAAAAAAAGTTTAATTCGAATCTGAGAAAGGTGTTAAAGTCGTGCGGAGCTCGTCCACCCTCTCCTCAATGCGCCCAAATTCAAAAAATTTGCGCCCTTCTGCTCAGTCGTCCATTCGATCAAGCGCATTTTAAAATAAAAGTCAGGTAACACTACCAACTCCCTCACAAATGTCTTCCCCCTTCATATTGAAACCTTTTTATTCACTTTTTCACACTCTCTAACGAACCTTCAGTTGAAGACTATCTATTTCCCTTTCCAATTAGGTATTTCTAGCGCACATTTTCGAAGCCTTATTTAAAAAGGAATTCTATATATATATATATATATATATATATATATGCTAAAGCACATTAGCATTTGTTTTAAATTGACTGCTAGTAATTTCGTAATATTTTTGTTATTTATATATGTATTATCGAACACCAATAGTGGTGAGTTTGGCGTCCTAAATAAAAGGCTACTGTTCTACTCTAAGTCTTGACAACAAATTTGACAACTCCATAGTTAGTCAAAACGATGACAGAAAAATGGTAAATCTAATGAAAGAATAACAATTAAAGCAATAGTAATGTATAGCCTGAAAACTAAACAAATAGCACAAAGGAGAGTGAATGGGTCCTTGGGTTGGATAGTTTTCAAGTTGGCATGAAATACGATTATGCAAAGCATGAACAAAGTCGTATGAACATGCTGGCAAATTATTGGATTGAAGGTGGAAGAAATAAACGAAATAACGATTAAAGAGAATATTTACTGAATATTTGAACTCTACGCGGTTGTGATCTTCCTGACTCATCTGTGAGCATTGCCTATTGAAACTTTAGATTAAAATCTAATTAAATCAATTGCTTCCTGTCACCAGTTCCCATTCTAAATAAGTCAGAGTTAATTTTGTTAACTAAGATAATAAAACTGTTTAGTACGTTAGTCCTAGGCTCCACTATATAATATTTGATAAATAAAGTATTCAGTACTTCTACATCACTTAAAACAGAGGGGAGGACAATAAATAAATGAAAATTCCAACAGTTGAAAACTAGGCATCAAGCTCCCAAAATGCGTTAGGTATTTCATCCTTTCTTTCAAATAAAAGGACTGTGGGCTTAATGTAAATCAACATTGATTGACTATTACAATTCCATGAGGGGCGAATTAGCTTAAGAAGAAGAAGAAGAAAGGAAAATGACTAAATTACTATCGTCCGCTCCCTTTGCCCTTTAGGGTTTTACTTCCAGAGTTATTCTGAGATATGGAGATTGGACAATATTGAAGTTTTTTAAATGCTGAGAACTTACAACATAGTCAGCACTGCTACTATGTCGTCTTTGGTAGCGTCTCCTATCTCCAGAATTTCTCTTGAATCGATGCCGTGCATCTTTGGCGTCTGTAGAGTCCTCATTTGGGGAACTTTCCACAATTCCTTCATCATCCTAAACGATTTAACAGAGGTGAATATGAAATATATGATTATGTGAATATTTAACTAATATTGCAGCATTCCATTCATTCTAATCGTGCTATAGTGCCTTACGTAGGCACCAGCCTCGTGTGCATTACGTAAGTTTCAAGAAATAGGAGTGAACCATTGGATAGCGCGGTTAAATGATTGACTGGAACATAAACAGTTTTATGAGGTGTAACGTACTGTCAGTCTTATAACGAAAATTTCTCCTTGGTCACATAAAACATTAACCACGTGAAGGAAAAAAAGCTTATTATCGCGCAAACTAAAACAATTTTTCCAATAACAGAAAAAAATATTAATTATCCTTCAATAGCATCACAAATATCTCTTTATCAATCAGATAACCTTATAGGCAACTTCGAATTTATCAGATTTTTATTTGACTTACCAATCCTCTACTCGATCATTTATACAGCCTATCAATCGGACAAATCAATAACTTACCCTTTTTTAAAAAACTTCAAAATAAATTCGGCAGCCTTTCAATCCATTATTTACCAATGAAAGAATTATTTCCACTCAGACTTGTGGAATTCGATCTCCGAGTCTAGTTACGTAGTGTTTAAAAGTACTTAGTACAAAATAGCTGGTACATTAATAAACTTGAGTCTTTGCAAAAGTCTGTAGAAAGGAATCGAGGCACTTTTCGTTATTGTGGCATAGGCATAACTTCCATCAACCCAAGGCAGGTATCATCAGCACTTGCCTTATTGATCTGTGGGAACGTTATCGCGGTGTGCGTTATTGTATGCCTGCATGTCTGCTCTCCAGGATTGGGAGGTGCGGCCGTACAACTCTGTGTGCAGCGGCCGTACAAACAGTGACCAATCATTAACCTCTGTTTAACCTAACCCCCCATCCTGATCATGAGTACACTTGATCCGCAATATACTCGTTGAATAAACGTGCTTCTTGCTGTACGTCTGTTTCCTTCATAGCTGGGCTATAGCTTAGCTGGTTCTGGGAGTCTAGCTAGATGTGGGAGAATCTGCCACAGAGATTTCTGAGTCAGTCAGGCTTTACTAAGGTAGTAATCCGCTACAGATCATAGAATCGCGTTGAGCAGAATTTATAATAATATAAGTACAAGAAAATCGTTAGTTACTAAATATTCCACTAATGAATTTTTTACAAATCATAGTTGCTTGATCATTATGGCATTTATTAAACTTGATTATTCTCTAAGATCTATCCCTATTAATATGTATTGATTGAACTCTAAAAGGCGATTGAGTAATGGATAACCAAACAGTGACTTGGTGATAATTAACAAAAAACTCTGATCTACTCTCCTAACAAGGAACTCTTGCAACCACTCCACTTGCTCAACATCTGCAATTTTTCTCGT